CCCCCCCCCCCCCCCAAGCACATGCACATTAAACACACATACGTGTGTTCACAAACACATCTTTCACACACACACACCTTTTATGGTCTTCTACTGTTAGTATGTTCACTAGTGAATAAAGGAATAAAGAATCATCTTACTGTGATTTATCGGTTGCAGTATTTACACTGACAATTCCCTGTGGTTGGCATCACACAAGTTGGCTCCACATGTTGGCTGGGGCAGCCAAAGCAGTAATTTCCTGCCACACAATCTGCATTAGTTTGACATTCAAGTTCAATAGACTCTGAAAAGAGAGGAGCTAGTATTAGAGTGCATTCGGATCGACCTAACTCCCTGGGGTTCACGCTTAATTGCAGTCAGCCGAGTGCGCACCACAGTTAATTACCCCTTACAGCTTTTAGTAGGCGGGACAGATGCTTAAGCCGGGTAAGCTGACATTAGTTTAGTGAGACTGCCCACAGGGATAGATTGATCTAAAATCTGTGGGAAAGGGGTTCTTAGGCTTTGTTCACATGCAATGTCTATTTTCTAAAAATCTATTTTCTATTCGCGCTATCTTATGATCACGGTCTGTGCCCTGAATATCCCGCCGCGTAATTACTGGCAGCGCGAGCCAGTTACTTATGGTAACTTATAGTAACTGGCTCGCGCTGCCAGTAATTACGCCGCGGGATATTCAGGGCACAGACCGTGATCACAACACATGCCGCGAATAGAAAATAGAATTTAGAAAATAGACATTGCATGTGAACGAAGCCTTAGGTTACGTTCACAGTGAAACTATCACGCTAAGTACTCAGTAGTTCAAACTAATGCCATGAAGTCAATCAAATTAAAAGATGAACAGGCCTCCTCCTAGCATTGAGTAGAGTACAGAAAAGTGATGATTAAGCGATTATGTTGGAAACAAGTGGATGTATGTTTATTTTTTAATCTGATTACATTCAGCAAGAGTTGACACAAAGTACGAACTACTTACCTGTTGTATGAAAGTTTCATTGTGAACTTTCTTTAAGGTGTTGGCAGAGCTGAATACTGGCTTGAAATGCAATGCAAATTTCAAACATTTGATAGTAAAAATTGAAGTAAGCGTTACAAAGAATGTAGAATGACAGTATAACTAACCTTGAACAACAAACAACAAGAGGAATGCTGCAACAAGCCAAAACCTCATCTTGATGTCCACACTGTTGGTACTGTACGTAGTAGTTGACTTAAAACTTTTGCTAGCGGAGATAATTCCCTATTGGGCGGAAAGAGTATTTATACTAGTACTCTGCCGTCTTCTTGGTCACATGATTTGACAACATACAATCACTATATGTTAGGGAAGTACCATAGCTGATGGACCAATGAAAATGAAATATTTAATTTTGAATCGGTCAAATTGACAGGCACCATTTAGCCAGGCCATTTAACAGGTTTTTATGCTTTGGGGAACATTAAGCTGTCCTATTTTGACTTCTATTTATTTTTAGAAGAATGACTGAAATTTTAAAAGAAGTGATGTGTGATCTAAAAAATAAGACAGGTGAATTTCTCTAAGAGGCTCTAATCTGGAATTAACAAATCCAAAAATATGAACATTGATTGACTTGGCTTCACATGTGATGAGTGATATAATAATTAAGACCCACTTAACACTGTGCCCCTATCTTATGTAAGCCCTTTTTCCTTTCAAAAAAGATTCACCAACATTTTCATTCACACTGTTTGTAAATTAGTGTTCTGTAGATCTTTTTTGTTGATTGAAAAGGCTGATAAGAATGGAAGATAAAAAGCTTTGGCGGCTAATTGCACCTGCATTTTAGTAGTTGTTGTGAAAGTTTGCTGAAAAAGGAAAAAAGATCAATGATTAATGATTATGTATTTTCAAGTGAATGTGCTCACCCTGGTTTTCATTGTCTGCAGGAGACTGTTACATGTTGTCTCCATAAGTATATCCCGATTATAGGGCAAGTCATGAACAGGACTCTTAATTTATTCACAAATAAACCTCACACAAATCTACCTTATACAACCAAATGGTAATATAATAACAGTTAATTGTTAAGAAAATGGATTTCTAGTAATTATTATGTGTTTTGAATTGCACTTCTCTTCATGTCCAAATAACAATAATAATAATTGTGTTAATGAGGTGCATTTATCACTAAGTTGGATAAAAGAGATGTCAATTATTTCAGGTGGAGAAGTTAAAACAGATTGGCCATGTAGCTATAACTGACAGTGAGCCAGCTCGTACCTCTGCCAGAAGATGGGAGGAAAATGGTGTGATTAAGGTACGTGTGGAAAAAATAAAGAGAGAAATGGATATAGCCCATGCAAAAAAAAAAAAAAAAAAAAAAAAAATTAGAAAGAAATGTTGCATGTTTTTGAAATGATATCATAGCCTAAGGATATTTGGAATTTTTTACCCTTTTCATTTCAATCATTTTTCAATTTGCTCTGGGTGTTTTCACTCTAAGTGTTGAGAGAAATAGATAATTAGGCCAGACAAAATTAATAAGTTGGTAAATAAGAGCTAAGTGACTCTCTGTAAACAGGGTTAGTAGACAAAATTAATTTTTTTTAAACTTAAATTATATAATTATAATGAGCATTGCAGCTAAATTTCAAGATCAGTAAAAAAAGAGGGAGAGTGTGAGAAGTATAAGAAACTGACTTATTTATTTTTCACATGGTGTTTTGTGTTCATTTCAGACAACAGGCAGCAACTACCTATTTGTAGTTGGTTACAAACTAGGCATTCATCCAGATACCCTGGCAGCGTGGTATTATGGGAAGTTTAAACCTGTTACACAACCACAGCAAACTTGATCACTGATATAATATATGAAATAATATATATTTGATGGCAGGCAATAAATGTTTTCTGCTATTGTCTTACCAAGACCAAAAGGGATACTTTGACTGTGTTCCCATGACCTAGCAGGATTGACCTATCTCAGCAGGGATTTTTGCTAAGGCACAGTCAATGAAACCAGCTAAACTGTTGGGCATGCTGCCTCGCTAAGCAACATGAACTACGTCATGGACCACAAAGTTTTCCCGATTTTATCCAAGTACTATAATTGTTACGAGTTGTTGTGCCAGACGTTTAAGCCACTTAAACTGAATGCAATTTAGCGAGAATTCCGAGTTAGATCAATTCAGCTAGTATGACAGGGTTATGGAAACAGTTCCCTTTGTGGGATTTGAAAGGGAAAGATATTGCTTCAACTTCTCTGCCATCCTGAGAGAATATAACCTTGAATACGAGCTGACAGATTTTTATCCAGGCCAGCAGTCTTCCATTGTGGCTTTTGCTCTACCATGTATATTTTTCTTCCAATATCTGGACTAGTGCAGGCACTGATGATCATGGTCCTCCAGTTTACTCTGTTTTCAGTCAATTAAATGAGCTTAATTGTTGTTGGACAGTGGTTGATTTGTTGCAAAGGCATTAAGGCTGTCAATATATATATACACGTATATACAACATTAAATTGCAAATGCTTAAACATTAAGGGCCATATTCTAGAAATTTTAAAATAACATTTTTTTTTTTTTTTTTGTTTGTGAATTGTCTTTCAGGTGCCAAAAAAGTCTTAGTTGGTTTCTACAATGTGGTCTCAGTGTGCTTTTGTAGGTTGATTTTCTATCCAGACTAATAAACAAGGGATTGTGGAATACGATATAGTGATCGTAAATCTTGTTACCCATCTTTCTCTAATTGTTCTTATTAATATTATGGAATGTTTCCCTTTTGTGACTGAAAATCCAATGTAATTATCAACTAGAGAGAGGCTGTTTCAGATTATTTTCCAATAGACCACAAAAGCTTTAATGTGGCATTAATTGCTTATTTTAACTATCAATATTGTATTGAATACCACATGATGTTTTTAATAATGTTCCATAATAATGCCTAAAATCAGTCTGAAAAGTTGTTTTTTACAGGTATATTGAGATACATGTTATCAGTGCCAAACACATTACTGTTATGAAATATGTATTATAAATTAAGTCTGTAGTACATTTGTATTAAGTGAAATTTGTTGATTTATAGTAGATATATATTTTTTTATTTTAAATTTAAATTTGGTGCTAATTTTTTTCTGTCTAATTCATACTGCTGTGCTTTCATAAAGACTACACTCTGTGCACTAGTGTTTATGTACAGAAGAAGAAACTGGAATAAATACACGTTGAAACAGTAATTAGGTACATATTGATGAATATGTACACTGTGTACATTTTACTGACTACCATATTCTAAAATGCACATGCCGGATTTCAAACCATTATTACAGTACAGACCTTGCATAGAATGGCCTCATATAAACTGGATTTTTAAATTAAAATTAAAATTGTATAAGTTACATTCAGAATCTGGAAACCCTGGCCTTTTCTAGTAAGGATCAGTAAACCATGTGACAGCCTTCATACATGTATATAACAGTGAACAAAAACGGCCATGCAATCCCATTTAAATTAGTCCTTTATAATATACAGTGTGTGCGTGTACTGTATATCTCTGTGTATGTTGATAATACAGAGAGTTTCTCATAAGTTTTAAAAAAATGTATACAAAAAATTCATAGGCATTGGTAGCAATTATGTGTCATCTAGGTTGATATGTTGGTGGAGAAAGGGGACTGTCACAAAAATTTTGTGTACCCTGTACACCCAATGTCGCCAGCGAGGACCCTTCTTGACATCGGCCCGGAGGTGCATCCAGCTGAACAATTCTGGAGCTAAAATTTAACTTTTTTTTTTTAATAAAGACAAACATATTGTGTTTTGTGCATATTTTTTATTATGTCTGTGAGTAAAATCAGAACAAAAAAAAGGGGGAAATATAATCTACTAGTATATTATGAAATAATTTGGGATGTACATTCCCAATATGTGTGATTGCACATTACAGTGTAGAAACTTCTCTTCAATAAACATTGCTGAAGACCTTGAAGTATTCTATTCTGCATGTATACAAATAAAACACTTTTAAAATTTTATTTTCAAAAAGTGTAGGAACTGCTTGTGACTTACAATGAGTTTGGAAATAATGATGAAGTTACACTTATGTTCAGTCTCACATAATAAAAACTTGAGCATAAATGTGATGAAATGAAAATAGTTTATGTTAATGATAAAAGATGTCAGCACCCACAAGTGAACCATGAATTTTTTTTCTGCAAAATAGGCAAGGACAACATGTTGTCCAAACTCCTTTAATTGAAAAGTAATTGCCTACCCCCACCACCCTTCCCAGTAGAATAACTCACGCTTCCAGTTTGTGAGTCATGTACTAAATGTTTTTCTGTACCACATGACCAAGCCATACTATGCTCAGACACCCACTGACACGCTTTAACCACTCCACGCTTACACAATCAATGACACATTAACAGTGAAAAAAATTAATCCAGAAATATCATGTTCAAATATCATGACATCAAAATATTGGACAGGTGTGTTAATACAAAAAAATGTAATTCTAATTTCAGCTGTTGTTGTGTCTCAGAAACTGTAATTGTAACTGAGTACTGCATCGAGATCTGTGGTGACTTTACTTACAGGATTTGCCAGAAAAAAATCAAAGAGTTTGAGAAGGTTATTGGTGTATCCAGTGATTCACTTAGAACACCCAAACTCTCAGTGGTTATTCCTACACTGAATGAGGCAAGGACTATTGGATCTTGCATACAGAGATTGTTAGAGGTAAAAAAACTTGCCTGTTATCAGAATATAACACGCCCATAGCCAGTAATTTCAAATGGGGGGTTCTTTTTCTGAAAAAGTGGACCTTTTGCCANAGTGCGCACAACAGTTAATTACCCCTTACAGCTTTTAGTAGGCGGGACAGACGCTTAAGCCGGGTAAGCTGACATTAGTCTAGTGAGACTGCCCACAGGGATAGATTGATCTAAAATCTGTGGGAAAGGGGTCTTAGGTTATGTTCACAGTGAAACTATCACGCTAAGTACTCAGTAGTTCAAACTAATGCCATGAAGTCAATCAAATTAAAAGATGAACAGGCCTCCTCCTGGCATTGAGTAGAGTACAGAAAAGTAATGATTAAGCGATTATGTTGGAAACAAGTAGATGTATGTTTATTTGTTAATCTGATTACATTCAGCTAGAGTTGACACAAAGTACAAACTACTTACCTGTTGTATGAAAGTTTCATTGTGAACTTTCTTTAAGGTGTTGGCAGAGCTGAATACTGGCTCAAAATGCAATGCAAATTTCAAACATTTGATAGAAAAATTGAATTCAGCGTTACAAAGAATTTAGAATGACTGTACAACTAACCTTGAACAACAAACAACAAGAGGAATGTTGCAACAAGCCAAAACCTCATCTTGATGTCCACACTGTTGGTACTGTACGTAGTAGTTGACTTAAAACTTCTGCTAGCGGAGATAATTCCCTATTGGGCGGAAAGAGTATTTATACTAGTACTCTGCCGTCTTCTTGGTCACATGATTTGACAACATACAATCACTATATGTTAGGGAAGTACCATAGCTGATGGACCAATGAAAATGAAATATTTAATTTTGAATCGGTCAAATTGACAGGCACCATTTAGCCAGGCCATTTAACAGGTTTTTATGCTTTGGGGAACATTAAACTGTCCTATTTTGACTTCTATTTATTTTTAGAAGAATGGCTGGAATTTTAAAAGATGTGATGTGTGATCTAAAAAATAAGACAGGTGAATTTCTCTAAGAGGCTCTAATCTGGAATTAACAAATTAAAAAATATGAACATTGATTGACTTGGCTTCGCATGTGATGAGTCATATAATACTGTAAGACCCACTTAACACTGTGCCCCTATCTTATGTAAGCCCTTTTTCCTTTCAAAAAAGATTCACCAACATTTTCATTCACACTGTTTGTAAATTTAATTATTGTTCTGTAGATCTTTTTTGTTGATTGAAAAGGCTGATAAGAATGGAAGATAAAAAGCTTTGGCGGCTAACTGCACCTGCATTTTAGTAGTTGTTGTGAAAGTTTGCTGAAAAAGGAAAAAAGATCAATGATTAATGATTATGTATTTTCAAGTGAATGTGCTCACCCTGGTTTACATTGTCTGCAGGAGACTGTTACATGTTGTCTCCATAAGTATATCCCGATTATAGGGCAAGTCATGAACAGGACTCTTAATTTATTCACAAATAAACCTCACACAAATCTACCTTATACAACCAAATGGTAATATAATAACAGTTAATTGTTAAGAAAATGGATTTCTAGTAATTATCATGTGTTTTGAATTGCACTTCTCTTCATGTCCAAATAACAATAATAATAATTGTGTTAATGAGGTGCATTTATCACTAAGTTGGATAAAAGAGATGTCTTATTTCAGGTGGAGAAGTTAAAACAGATTGGCCATGTAGCTATAACTGACAGTGAGCCAGCTCGTACCTCAGCCAGAAGATGGGAGGAAAATGGTGTGATTAAGGTACGCGTGGGAAAAATAGAGAGAGAATGGATATAGCCCATGCAGAGAAAAAATTGGAAAGAAATATTGCATGTTTTTGAAATGATATCATAGCCTAAGGATATTTGGAATTCTTTACCTCTTTCATTTTAATCCTTTTTCAATTTACTCTGGGTGTTTTCACTCTAAGTGTTAAGTGAAATAGATAATTAGGCCAGACAAAATTGGAAAGTTGGTTAATAAGGTGCAACTCTCTGTAAATGGGGTTAGTAGACAACTTTCTTTAAACTTAAATTATATAATTATAATGAGCTTGGCAGATAAATTTTAAGATCATTAAAAAAGATGAAGAGTGAGAGAAGTATAAGAAACTTACATATTTATTTTTCACATGGGTGTTTTGCATTTATTTCAGACAACAGGCAGCAACTACCTGTTTGTAGTTGGTTACAGACTAGGCATTCATCCAGACACCCTGGCAGCATGGTATTATGGGAAATTTAAACCTGTTACACAACCACATCAAACTTGATCACTGATATAATATATATATGAAAGAATATATACTTGATGGCAGGCGATAAATGTTTTCTGATATTGTCTTACCAAGACCAAAAGGGACACTTTGACTGTGTTCCCATAACCTTATCGTACTAGCAGGATTGACCTATCTCAGCAGGGATTTTTGCTAAGGCGCAGTCAATGTAACCAGCTTAACTGTCAGGCATGCCCCCTTGCAAAGCAACATGAAGTACGTCATGGACCATTAAGTTTTCCTGATTTTATCCGAGTACTTTAAGTTACAGGTTGTTGTGCCAGACGTTTAAGCCACTTAAACTGAATGCAATTTAGTGAGAATTCCGAGTTAGATCAATTCAGCTAGTATGACAGGGTTATGGGAATTGTCTTTCAGGTGCCAAAAAAGTCTTAGTTGGGTGCTACATTGTGGTCCTGTGATTTTGTAGGTTGATTTTCTATCCAGACTAATAAACAAGGGATTGTGGAATATGATATAGTGATTGTGAATCTTGTTACCCATCTTTCTCTAATTGTTCTTATTAATATTATGGAATGTTTCCCTTTTGTGACTGAAAATCCAATGTAATTATCAACTAAAGAGAGGCTGTTTCAGATTATTTTCCAATGGACTACAAAAGCTTTATTGTGGCATTGCTTATTTAGGCTATCAATATTGTATTGAATACCACATGATGTTTTTAATAATGTTCGATAATAATGCTTAAAATCAGTCTGAAAAGTTGTTTTTTTACAGGTATATTGAGATACATGTAATCAGTGCCAAACACATTACTGTTATGAAATATGTATTATAAATTAAGTCTGTAGTACATTTGTATTAAGTAAAATTTGTTGATTTATAGTAGATATATTTTTTTTATTTTAAATTTAAATTTGATGCTAATTTTTTTTCTGTCTAATTCATACTGCTGTGCTTTCATAAAGACTACACTTTATGCACTAGTGTTTATGTACAGAAGAAGAAACTGGAATAAATACACGTTGAAACAGTAATTAGGTACATTGATGAATATGTACACTGTGTACATTTTACTGACTATATTCTAAAATGCACATGCCGGATTTCAAACCATTATTACCTTGACCTTGACCTTGCATAGAATGGCCTCATATAAACTGAATTTAATTGTATAAGTTACATTCAGAATCTGGAAGCCCTGGCCTTTTCTAGTAAGGATCAGTAAACCATGTGACAGCCTTCATATATAACAGTGAACAAAAATGGCCATGCAATCCCATTTAAATTAGTCCTTTATAATATGCAGTGTGTGCGTGTACTGTATATCTCTGTGTATGTTGATAATACAGAGTTTCTCATAAGTTTTTAAAAGATGTACACAAAAAAGTCATAGGCATTGTTAGGAATTATGTGTCATCTAGGTTGATATGTTGGTGGAGAAAGGGGACTGTCACAAAAATTTTGTGTACCCTGTACACCCAATGTCGCCAGCGAGGACCCTTCTTGACATCGGCCCTGAGGTGCATCCAGCTGCACAATTCTGGAGCTAAAATTTAACTTTTTTTTTTTAATAAAGACAAACATATTGTGTTTTGTGCATATTTTTTATTATGTCTGTGAGTAAAATCAGAACAAAAAAAAGGGGGAAATATAATCTACTAGTATATTATGAAATAATTTGGGATGTACATTCCCAATATGTGTGATTGCACATTACAGTATAGAAACTTCTCTTCAATAAACATTGCTGAAGACCTTGAAGTATTCTATTCTGCATGTATACAAATAAAACACTTTTAAAATTTTATTTTCAAAAAGTGTAGGAACTGATCGTGACTTACAATGAGTTTGGAAATAATGATGAAATTACACTTATGTTCAGTCTCACATAATAAAAACTTGAGCATAAATGTGATGAAATGAAAATAGTTTATGTTAATGATAAAAGATGTCAGCACCCACAAGTGAAACATGAAATTTTTTTTCTGCAAAATAGGCAGGGACAACATGTTGTCCATACTCCTTTAATTGAAAAGTAATTGCCTACCCCCACCACCCTTCCCAGTAGGATAACTCACGCTTCCAGTTTGTGAGTCATGTACTAAATGTTTTTCGGTACCACATGACCTAGCCATACTATGCTCAGACACCCACTCACACGCTTTAACCACTCCATGCTTACACAATCAATGACACGTTAACAGTGAAAAAAATTAATCCAGAAATATCATGTTCAAATATCATGACATCAAAATATTGGACAGGTGCGTTAATACAAAAAAATGTAATTCTAATTTCAGCTGTTGTTGTGTCTCAGAAACTGTAATTGTAACTGAGTACTGCATCTGTGGTGACTTTACTTACAGGATTTGCCAGAAAAAAATCAAAGAGTTTGAGAAGGTTATTGGTGTATCCAGTGATTCACTTAGAACACCCAAACTCTCAGTGGTTATTCCTACACTGAATGAGGCAAGGACTATTGGATCTTGCATAGAGAGATTGTTAGAGGTAAAAAAACTTGCCTGTTATCACAATATAACACGCCCATAGCCAGTAATTTCAAAAGGGGGGTTCTTTTTCTGAAAAAGTGTACCTTTTCCCATAAAAACTTCATGTACCTAGATCAAATTTTACCCAGAGTGGACCTTTTCCCAGCAAAGGTTCTTTCGAACCCCCCGAACCCCCGAAAAATGGAAAGATATGCCCTTGTGGAATTTATGCAGGATTCCACACGCGTGTGGAATCCTGCATAAATTCCACACCCTGTTAAGACAAATCTCTTGAAGACAGGTCTAATTTAAATCTAAAACTTGCCAAAATTTGATTTATGTACACAAGTTTTCATGAATGCTGAAACATAAGTAAACTTATCAGAAAATGTGACAAAAATAAGCCAATTTTTTTATGAATTATTTCCAGCTTCGAGCCCTCTTTCCTTTTTGGTATACAGATGGATATTGTAGAATGGGGTGCTAGGCAGAAAAACGTAAAAATGGGTTAGGTATTTCTTTCTTTTCAGAAATGGATAATTTCATTGTGGAATAGTGTATGCAGTATGGCCTGTGCCAGTTTTGGTTTGTGCCATGCAAGTTAAACTGAGACAGTGCACCTAGGAACCTAAACATTTTGGCATTTTTTCATTAAAAAAGGAAAACAGATCTTTTAAACAATGGGAAAAGGATATATCATCCTAAATTACTAAATAAAAGTCATCTAAAGAAAAATATTCAGAAAATCATGTCTTAGATTAAACTGTAACAGTATTAAACTTTTATCACAAAATAATGAGAATTAACCCCTTTTAAATGAGGGTCTGCTTCATATTATGATCTAGCTGTCTTGCAGAACTACTGTATGGAGACCAGGGAATTTTCTTAAGAAGACAAATTCTTGAGAAGATTGGTGGGGTACCTGAAACCCTTTTGTTTGAGGACTTTATCTTGGTAGGTGGAATAATATCATGGCGTTTGTAGTTATATAAAATGCATACAATGAGTCAGGAAAAGAAGAGAAACTGATTGAAATTAATTACATTTTTGGGTATTTTTTAATTTCTTTCTTCCAGGTTTTTTTTTACAGATATTTCAAATTTGCAGTGTCATGAAATATGAATCATCTGTTAAACCTAAATTACATATGCCACAGCTGCCATAAGATAAAATCATATACAATTTATACGTGATAATTGCAGTTGCTGTACACCTTCCATGTGGTTTCCTTGAGGCCAAATATGCTGTTGATGCAGATCTCTACAATTTTTAGCACCCATGTGGTCAGAATGAGAAAATGCTCAACTTAGTTTTAAACTAAACTTCTTTAATATTGTTATGCCACATAAAACAACCAAAAGTGGGAGAAAAAATCCATACAAATTTCGCAGGGCTGCCTCTGCTCAGACACCACAGAAAAATGGATTTACGGGCAGTATAGGTGCGTCATGTGGACATCCCATGGCAAATGTAACCTAGGCTTTATGCTTGTAAGTGAAACTGGCCAAATCTGAAACAAAAGGATAAAGATTTTAAAACATATTTAATGAAAAAGAAACAATATTTAAATGGCCAAGAGGTACTTTTTTTTTTATTTCGTCAGTCTATTGCATTTTGGTTTAAAAGATGTGATTCAATTTTCTGATATTGTTTGAGGTTCTTAATTTATTCGCATAAACCCAGTACAGTGTATTTACCTTTGCTAATATAAGAGGTCTCCCACCCTCCATTTCCCTGTTATCAACTGATTGATAAATAATCGCACATTGGTATGCTTCATTTTTTAAGGTCACCTCAATTCTGCCATTAAGCAGACAAAACAAAAACCAACCCATGAGTAGAGGAATACTAGTAACCCTTGCTTTGGCGGTGTGCCCCTCCCCCCTCCCCCAGCACATACACACACATGCACACACGTGTGCACACACACACACATGCATATGCTCACAAACACATCTTTCACACACAAACACACACACACAACCTCCTTTCATGGTCTTCTGCTGTTAGTGTGTGAACTAGTGAATAGAGGAAAAAAGAATCATCCTACTGTGATTTATCAGTTGCAGTCAGCCGACTGCGCACGGAAGTTAATTACCCCCTTACAGTTGGCGGGACGGACATTTAAGCTGGATTATCTGACAGTAATCTAATGAGATTCCCCACGGGGATAGATTGATCTAAAATCTATGGGAATGCACCCTTACTGTGATTTATCGGTTACAGTAGACACAATGACACTGCCCTTGGGTTGTTACCAGACAAGTGGGCTCCACATGTTGGCTGGGGCAGCCAAAGCAGTAATTTCTATTCACACAATCTGCATTAGTTTTACAGTCAAGTTCAAGAGACTCTGAAAAGAGAGGAGTATTGGGGTACATTCACTGTGAAACTATCACGCTAAGTAGCTCAAACTAATGCCATGAAGACAATCAAATTAAAGATGAACAAGCCTCCTCCTGGCATTGAGTAGCATACAGAAAAGTGATAATTAACACCCCATTTCCATACATTAGATCGGCCTACTTTAGATCGACCTAACTCCCTGGGGGTTCACGCTAAATAGCTGTCAGCCGAGCGGACACTAAAGTTAATTACCCCCTTACAGCTTGTGGTAGGCGGGACGGACATTTAAGTTGGATTATCTGAAAGTAATCTAGTGAGACTCCCCGCGGGGATAGATCGATCTAAAATCTATGGGAATAGAGCCTAAGTGATTATGTTGGAAACAAGTGGATGTATGTTTATTTGTTAATCTGATTACATTCAGCTAGAGTTGACACAAAGTACAAACTACTTACCTGTTGTATGAAAGTTTCATTGTGAACTTTCTTTAAGGTGTTGGCAGAGCTGAATACTGGCTCGAAATGCAATGCAAATTTCAAACATTTGATAGAAAAATTGAATTCAGCGTTACAAAGAATTTAGAATGACTGTACAACTAACCTTGAACAACAAACAACAAGAGGAATGTTGCAACAAGCCAAAACCTCATCTTGATGTCCACACTGTTGGTACTGTACGTAGTAGTTGACTTAAAACTTCTGCTAGCGGAGATAATTCCCTATTGGGCGGAAAGAGTATTTATACTAGTACTCTGCCGTCTTCTTGGTCACATGATTTGACAACATACAATCACTATATGTTAGGGAAGTACCATAGCTGATGGACCAATGAAAATGAAATATTTAATTTTGAATCGATCAAATTGACAGGCACCATTTAGCCAGGCCATTAATCAGGTTTTTATGACTTTGGGGGACATTAAACTGTCCTATTTTGACTTGCATTTATTTTTAAAAGAATGGCTGGAATTTTAAAAGATGTGATATGTGTGATCTAAAAAATAAGACAGGTGAATTTATCTAAGAGGCTCTAATCTGGAATTAACAAATTAAAAAATACGAACATTGATTGACATGGCTTCGCATGTGATGAGTCATATAATACTGTAAGACCCACTTAACACTGTGCCCCTATCTTATGTAAGCCCTTTTCCTTTCAAAAAAGATTCACCAACATTTTCATTCACACTGTTTGTAAATTAGTGTTCTGTAGCTCTTTTTTGTTGATTGAAAAGGCTGATAAGAATGGAAGATAAAAAGCTTTGGCAGCTAATTGCACCTGCATTTTAGTAGTTGTTGTGAAAGTTTGCTGAAAAAGGAAAAAAGATCAATGATTAATGATTATGTATTTTCAAGTGAATGTGCTCACCCTGGTTTTCATAGTCTGCAGGAGACTGTTACATGTCATCTCCATAAGTATATCCCGATTATGGGGCAAGTCATGGACAGGACTCTTATTCACATTAATAAACCTCACACAAATCTACCTTATACAACCAAATGGTAATATATATAATGACAGTTAATTGTTAAGAAAATGGATTTCTAGTAATTATCATGTGTTTTGAATTGCACTTCGAATTCTCTTCATGTCCAAATAACAATAATAATAATTATCATTGTGTTAATGGGGTACATTTATCACTAAATTGGATAAAAGAGATGTCTTATTTCAGGTGGAGAAGTTAAAACAGATTGGCCATGTAGCTATAACTGACAGTGAGCCAGCTCGTACCTCAGCCAGAAGATGGGAGGAAAATGGCGTGATTAAGGTACGTGTGGAACAAATAGAGAAAAATGGATATAGCCCATGCAGAAAAAAATTAGAAAGAAATATTGCACATGTTTAAAATGATATCATAGCCTAAAGATATTTGGAATTCTTTACCTCTTTCATTTGAATCCTTTTCAATTTACTCTGGGTGTCTTCATTCTAAGTGTTAAGTGAGATAGATAATTAGGCCAGACAAAATTGGTATGTCGGTTAATAAGTGGTGACTCTCTGTAAACAGGGTTAGTAGACAAAATTAATTTTTTTTAAACTTAAATTATATAACTATAATGAGTATTGCAGCTAAATTTCAAGATCAGTAAAAAAAAAGAGTGAGAGTGAGAGGAGTATAAGAAACTTACATATTTATTTTTCACATGGTGTTTTGTGTTCATTTCAGACAACAGGCAGCAACTACCTCTTTGTAGTTGGTTACAGACTCGACATTCATCCAGACACCCTGGCAGCGTGGTATTATGGGAAGTTTAAACCTGTTACACAACCACAGCAAACTTGATCACTGATATAATATATGAAATAATATATATTTGATGGCGGGCAATAAATGTTTTCTGATATTGTCTTACCAAGACCAAAAGGGACACTTTGACCCCATTTCCAGAAATTAGATCGATCTACTTTAGATTGACCTAACTCCCTGGGGGTTCACACTAAATAGCTGTCAGCCGAGCGGACACGAAAGATAATTACCCCCTTACAGCTTGTAGTAGGCGGGATGGACATTTAAGCCGGATTATCTGACAGTAAACAGTAATCTAGTGAGACTCCCCGTGGGGATAGATCGATCTAAAAGCTCTGGGAATACAGCCTTTGACTGTGTTCCCATCACCTTATTGTACTAGCTGGATTGATCTATCTCAGCAGGGATTTTCGCTAGTGCACAGTCATGTAACCAGCTTAATTAACTGTTTGGCATGCCCCCTTGCAAAGCAACATGAACTACGTTATGGACCACAAAGTTTTCCCGATTTTATCCAAGTACTATAAGTTACGAGTTGTTGTGCCAGATGTTTAAGCCACTTAAACTGAATTTAATTTAGCAAGAATTCTGAGTTAGAGCGATGCAGCTAGTATGACAGGGTTATTGGAACGGTCCCTTTGTGGGATTTGAAACAGAAAGATATTGCTTCAACTCCTCTGCCATCCTAAAAATGGGAGAATATAACCTTGAATACCAGCTGACAGATTTTTAACCAGGCCAGCGGTCTTCCATTGTGGCTTTTGCTCTACCATGTATATTCTTTTTCAAGTTTCAGGCCTGGTGCAGGCATAGATGATCATGGTCTTCCAGTTTACTCTGTTTTCAGTCAATTAAATGAGCTTTATTGTTGTTGGACAGTGGTTGATTTGTTGCAAAGGCATTAAGGCTGTCAATATATATATACATGTATATACAACATTAAATTGCAAATGCTTTAACATTAAGGGCCATATTCTAGAAATTTAAAAATAACATTTTTTTGTCTGTGAATTGTCTTCCAGGTACCAAAAAAGTCTTAGTTGGTTTCTACATTGTGGTCCTATGCTTTTGTAGGTTGATTTTCTATCCAGACTAATAAACAAGGGATTGTGGAATACGATATAGTGATTGTGAATCTTGTTACCCTTCTTTCTCTAATTGTTCTTATTAATATTATGGAATGTTTCCCTTTTGTGACTGAAAATCCAATGTAATTATCAACTAGAGAGAGGCTGTTTCAGATTATTTTGCAATAGACTACAAAAGCTTTAATGTGGCATTGCTTATTTAGGCTATCAATATTGTATTGAATACCACATGATGTTTTTAATAATGTTCCATAATAATGCCTAAAATCAGTCTGAAAAGTTGTTTTTTACAGGTACCTGTATATTGAGATACATGTAATCAGTGCCAAACACATTACTGTTATGAAATATGTATTATAAATTAAGTCTGTAGTACATTTGTATTAAGTAAAATTTGTTGATTTATAGTAGATATATATTTTTTTATTTTAATTTTAAATTTGGTGCTAATTTTTTTCTTTCTAATTTATACTGCTGTGCTTTCATAAAGACTACACTATGTGCACTAGTGTTCATGTACAGAAGGAGAAACTGGAATAAATACACGTTGAAACAGTAATTAGGTACATTGATGAATGTGTACACTGTGTACATTTTACTGACTATATTCTAAAATGCACATGCCGGATTTCAAACCATTATTACAGTATAGACCTTGCATAGAATGGCCTCATATAAACTGAATTTAATTGTATTAGTTACATTCAGAATCTGGAAGCCCTGGCTCTAGTAAGAATCAGTAAACCATGTGACAGCCTTCATATATAACAGTGAACAAAAACGGCCATGCAATCCCATTTAAATTAGTCCTTTATAATATGCAGTGTGTGCGTGTACTGTATATCTCTGTGTATGTTGATAATACAGAGAGTTTCTCATAAGTTTTTAAAAAATGTACACAAAAAATTCATAGGCATTGGTAGTAGTTATGTGTCATCTAGGTTGATAAGTTGGTGAAGAAAGGGGACTGTCACAAAAATTTTGTGTACCCTGTACACCCAATGTCGCCACCAAGGACCCTTCTTGCCATTGGCCCCGAGGTGCATCCAGCTGCTCAATTCTGGAGCTAAAATTTAACTTTTTTTTTTTTAATAAAGACAAACATATTGTGTTTTGTGCATATTTTTTATTATTTCTGTGAGTAAAATCAGAACAAAAAAAAGGGGGGAAATATAATCTACAAGTATATTATGAAATAATTTGGGATGTACATTCCCAATATGTGTGATTGCACATTACAGTATAGAAACTTCTCTTCAATAAACATTGCTGAAGACCTTGAAGTATTCTATTCTGCATGTATACAAATAAAACACTTTTAAAATTTTACTTTCAAAAAGTGTAGGAACTGATTGTGACTTACAATGAGTTTGGAAATAATGATGAAATTACACTTATGTTCAGTCTCACACAATAAAAACTTGAGCATAAATGTGATGAAATGAAAATAGTTTATGTTAATGATAAAAGATGTCAGCACCCACAAGTGAACCATGAAATTTTTTTCTGCAAAATAGGCAAGGACAACATGTTGTCCAAACTCCTTTAATTGAAAAACTAATTGCCTACCCCCACCACCCTTCCCAGTAGGATAACTCACACTTCCAGTTTGTGAGTCATGTACTAAATGTTTTTCTGTACCACATGACCAAGCCATACTACGCTCAGACACCCACTCGCATGCTTTAACCACTCCACGCTTACACAATCAATGACACATTAACAGTGAAATAAATTAATCCAGAAATATCATGTTTTGTTTTGTTTTGGACAACTCAATTTGTTTGTGCTGTTATAATCTCTCAATATTCATCTTGGAGGTGATGCCTTCAGTCCTGCTTCAAAAATAGCTATGAGAAGGACAACTATGTAACATCCAATGATGAGATTTTTTTTCCTTTTAGAAAATCATTTAGTCTTTAATTTGAATAAATTTGCATCCTGGACTTTTCAAAAAATGTCTTCCTGGTTTATGGCATGAAAGATGCTGCGTTCAATAAGAGTACATCTTAGTCTTGTTAATGTCTTTGTCTTGGCATTCTCTGGTTCTGTTATAATAGTAAAAGTAGCCATCCTCTTTCCTTTTTAGCTTCTTCACAAAACCACTGTCTGGCCACCTTTCACACTGAAAAGAACAATAACAACAAAAATAATAATGATGTGGCATATTCAACACAATAGACTTTAAAATAATGTGTAATAATAATTAATATCTTAATAACTAATTCTTAAATAAGACATTCCATTGAAATCTCAGTTATAAAAGGGAAAGAGTAGTAATGATCAATTGAAATGATTTGCTAATCAACAATCGAGCTACCATTCTAATATCTGTATTAATGTCACAACTTATAACATATAATGCACCAGCAAGAAATGTTTTGATGTTTTAGTGTGTGATGTTGGAATGATTAATATGTGGTCAATACATTGATATTGATTTTTTTTCACCTGTTCCTCCAGATGCATTATCCAGAACCTAGGTTCTTCTTGCATTTCATGTTTGTAATAATCACATACTTTTTAAGAATCATTTTTGTAATCTCTTGTAATAGATAAATTTCTTTAAATTTGTAAAAATCAATAATTCAGGAAAAGTTTGTTTGACATTTCCACTCTCATTTATCAGATGAATGCCAGCGCTTTAGTCATTAAAGCTAAATGTTGTTTTTAAGCAAATGGTACTTTCGTGACAGACTAATCAATCATATCCCAGTTAAAATCTATGCTAGCAATGAGTTCAGCTGTTTGAGATTACATGGCTCAATACAGATCAAAATACCAAAGTTTACGGAATGAATTGTAAAAATGATTTTATTGATACCCTGCGTTTTGTCTATACTATATTCTGTTTGATGTATGCATAAAATCCTTTGATCATAGCTAATATTAGTGCACACTTGTTTATGTCTTGGAACAAGCCAAACGAATAAAAAAGTACTTTTAATATACAATACCCGTATTACATTACTTTTTAACCAACTTCTGGCACTGCCACCAAAATTTTTCATAATCTTTCAAAGCATAGTTAGAGATATATCATACGTTAAATATATATATATATATATATATATATATATATATATATATATATAATACGTTTAACACTTACATCTTCTACATTGTGTATCGCCTTATATTCTGTTACATCTCTGTATCCAGCCAGCTGGAATCTGTAGGCATTCTCCACCTCCTCAGACCAATGTTTGGGGCGGACCATGGATTTGGGCTTCAGAATCTCTGCAGAACTCATGTTGATCTTTCAGCTGCTAAAATGAAAATAGTATATTATTGTTTTGTTTTTTTTTTTTTTGTTTTTTTTTTTCATATTTGAAACAACCCCCTCCTCCCCCGAGTTTATTTTCATTCGGAAAAAAAATTCATTCTTTATTAATTTTATTTTCTGAAAAAATGTCACTGTCAAAATACATGGCATAATTGAACTTATATTGATTATAAACAACTTATGCTTACTAATGTGCAATACACACAATTTTTAAGTTTTACACAAAATGATGTTGCAAATGCAACGGCATTAAAATTAAGTGTCAAGTGAAGTGGGCTTTTAAATACAGTATGTAGACTACCGTGAATTTAAAAAAATGAACAAAAACATTGTAACTGCATTTATCCCGTCTATTTGGACCACTAATATTCAGGTTTAGTTTTGAAACTTACCTTTTCCTTTGGTAAATGAAGCACGTCTGTGTGATTCTCAAAATCAATGATATTTGACGGGAGTTTTAAAAATGTTCCTTTTTATTGTTGTTGCTTTGCAGCCTTGGCGATGAGTAAACAATAGACACGGAGCAAATGACAGGTACAAACCTGATTCGCCAATAGACCATGAGTCAGTGCAGGGCTTTGCATGGTTCTGTTGTCGAATAAACAAGCAAAATATAACCAATTAACCGTATTATGACTGTAATTTTCTTTAAAAGCCAATAAAACTATTTGAAATAGTTCCCCTCAAGTTTTCAAATCGGTTTGTCTTGCAGCGCCATCTACTAGCATGGCCTAGTTTCACGGTACACCGTGGACAGGAAGTGAAGCCCCTTACTTGACCTCTTTTTTCCTGTGCACATTAGCAAGGTACAACAAAACGAAAATTCTGAGATTTTTTTGCCTTATGTATACTCACTGAATGGACAGATTTACGCAAACATATATTTATTGTAGACATCTGTATATATGTATGTATTGTAAACCCCAATTTGTCCAATATTTGTTTGAAATACGGATATTTGTCCAAGTACAGCAGAAGTACTTTAGGATTGAATTTACAATCAAACAGAAACAAGTGGATATCAAAATTGTTGTCAGTCCATTTGACCGACAAGAAAAAATCTAGTAACGCCTTGAACATAACAGAATAAAATACCATTGATTAAACGTGTAGGGTATAGGGCTTAGAATCCATTGATGAACACAGTGTGTGTGTGTGACCTAGACAAACCTGCTTTCATAGAAGTGATAACTGTAATGTCTGTGTGGGGAGAGGGTTGATGAGAAGGCAATTTCTCTCACATGTTTATTTGCCTGTGCTTTATTTCAATGTTATAATATAATTCCAGATGCCAGGTGTAAGCGTCAAGGACGTGGATCAGCATAAATTTACCAAAGCCTTGGGCGCCTTCCTGAAGAAGTAAGTGAATGAATTTGAGGAATGTGTTAGAATAAATAATAGAATACAAAAGACACATTTTGAGAAAAAAATTAAAATTGCCAATTATAATTAAGTTAAATTATTCTTTCTATGAACTGTACAAATAGTAGATTGAATGTGAATTCGGTATTCACATAGTTGATGTTGTGGTGATATGGTGTTTAAAGACAGTCTCAGCGCGTTAAACCCTTAAAATAGCACGAAAATGAATTTTCCTGGAAATCTCACCAATTTCCCCATAATGACCAAGGTATATCCTATTCAAAACCGTTGAGAAAATGAACCTACCTAATACCGTTTTTAAGTTCCATTAAATAATAAAAGACGACTCGTCTTAAATACTCAGCTACCACCTCACAGTACGGCTTCAGAACGCGCAATTTCTCGCTAAGTCTCGCGGTTTACTATGAATGAAGTACTACGGCTGAGACCCGGATGTTACTATTTGGCGCCAAAACAGCAAACATGGCTCAGACGCGCGTCAAGTCTGAAGAGGAGAGCGACAAAAAGGGACGAAAGAAAATAGCCACTCCAGTTCGAAAGATACGAAAGAAAATTAGAGACAGACGAAGAAGCACTCAGACTGTGTATGTTGGGAGGGAGGTGGGGCGGTGGAGGACACTTAAAGCTGAGTTAGGACTCACATACGAGGCAATGGCGAAACTACTCCTCGACACGTGAGTATGCGCTTCACAGGTCTCAAGTGTGTCTGATTATCATATTATCCTGTTCACAATAAATGACAATATTTGTGCTCATACAAAGTTGGTTACGTGTATAAGAGCGTTTTGGGCTTTACGTTGTCTATTTTTGATCGGTACATGTACCGAAAAGATGGACAGGCGGCACTTACATGTCTGACAAGTTTCGCTGTGTAGTCGTGACGTCTATCTCATTCTGACTGAAGCCTGCTGTGATTGGTCGTAAGCGTGGGAAAATCGAGGTCGTGACCTTGAGCCGGAAGTACTTCTGGCTGTGCTCCGAAATCATGATAAATAGTTTTCGTTTTCTAATTCTTTATTCTAGTTGTCTTAACAGGACTTTTGTGACCCAGACTTATTAATATAATAATAAACAATCTCACAAAACACAAATCTGATCAAAGCTTTACATAGAACCTGCTTCTATACATTAATCTAACCCACTGAGACTGTCTTTAAAGAAACTGACAAACACTTTCACAGACCATGCTGTTTATTCTGTCCCTGCTAACTTGAGTTAGGGTGTACATGTATGTTAAACAACATCATTGCTATCACATCGTGTTATCATGGATAATGTGTTGGCACTCTGGGTACGTTTGGCACATGCAGTGGGACACAAATTTGAGTAGGTCTGCAAGTTTGAAAAGTGTTGTGTGTCAGTCTTAATAAAATTCACATTCAAATGGATAGAATAATGTGAAAATAGTTTAATTGGATCTTAGTTTTGATAGTCAGAAAGTTTTCATTTATGATAGATCCTGAAATTTGATTTACCTGTTGACTGTTTCGTCTGTTCACTCTGACAGACTTGGTCACAACTGAATTACCTGTTCAGATGAAGGTGAACAGGTAATTATCTCAGTCTTGATGATGACTTGTTAGTCCCTCTCGCCCCCTCCCCCCAGGGTGGGTTTGAGAATGTCGTCATACACATGGGACAGTCAACAGGTAAATCAAATTTCAGGATCTATCATAAATGAAACCTTTGACTATGATAGAATAATGGTCATGAAGCTTCGTTGGTTATGTGACATTAAAAAAGTACTGGCCTAATAGAATCAGAATAGTTCAAATGAAACCCGTGGTAATCTAATGCTGTAACAGTGTGCTAGCATTTCTTTCTTTTACTTTGTAGGTCAGGCAAGTTGAAGGTACCTGAGTGGACAGACCTGGTCAAACTTGCTCGTTTCAATGAACTGAGCCCATATGATGATGACTGGTTCTACATTAGATGTGGTCAGTACACTCACTCACTCACTCACTCTCTCTCTCTCTCTCTCTCTCTCTCTCTCTCAGCAAAAGAATATAAAAGAATGCATACTTCAAAAGATGTAAAGTTATAAAACAGATTTTTAAATTCATTTCCAGTTACTCACATGAACCACTTCTACTAGTTTATTATAACACTAAAATAAAGTTGACATGCCATGTTATAAGCCAAATCAATTTCTCGTTCAGCAAAAAAAGTAGCTTCAAAACTGCACCTTCTTCAAATTTTTAGTATTTATCTATCCCTCCAGTACATAAAAGCATACTAAATGAAGTAGTACTGTGCACACATTGCATAATCGTCACTCCTATGGATGTATAGCTGCGCATGCAATTGCATACTTTTCAAATGAGGCTGCCGAGTTATATTTATAGCACAGAAAGAAAGTAGAAAATATCCGTTCAAGTATCATTTTTCCAAGTATATAAAACAATGTTCTTTGGTATTCCTCTTTTCATAATACTATTTGAAACTCTATGGTAGTGTTAGGTAGGGTTTTGTGGCCAAAACTTTGGTATTTAAATGCACATTTAGCATTGTATAACTGTTAATAAATTTCATGGTGTTTCAGCTTCCATTGCCCGTCACTTGTACGTCAGAGCCCCAGTTGGTGTGGGAACCCTCACTAAAGTCTACGGAGGTTAGTAGTTCTGGTATTCACTTATTCTTCAGCTTAATAATCTTGTTAAAAGAAGTTAATTGTGAAATCAAGGAACTTTCTCTAATAAAACTGTTGCTTGATTACCAATCACAATAATTGCAAGGTATGACTTTGACATCCACAAGGTGCTAATTAAGAACAACGTGTGCCATTTTGATCCATTTAATTAATATATTTACTATAGTTGATCAGGTTTGAAGCTCCCAGCAGTAGTCGCAACCTTTAATACATGGTTATTTATTTCTTTTCTTCAGCTCGCAAGAATAATGGCACAGCCCCAAGTCACTGGTGTAGAGGCAGTGCCTCCGTAGCCAGAAAATGCCTTCAGGCGCTAGAAGGACTCAAGATTGTAGAGCAGGATCAGAATGGGTAGGTGTATAGTGAGTCATAAAGTAGTGTGAGGATCAGAATGGGTAGGTGTAAAGTCGAGTCATGAAGTAGTGTGAGGATCAGAATGGGGAGGTGCTCCATGACCAGTGGAGTTTTTGGTAGAATGGGATCAGAATAGGGACGTGCTTACTGAGCGGTGGGGTAGATACGGACTTCAATTCCCTTGTGAAAGCTGATGTTAAAATGATCGCATACTTCTAATTTCCCGGCTACTTTAATGTGGAAGATGAAGGTGTGAATTCTCAAAGATTATTGACTTAAAATCCCATTGGTACAATACCAATACTGAGGTATATGTAACATTTGGGGAGTTTTCAGGGCAAAGTGGTATCAATTTGTTCTATAAACAAACTTGTATTAAGACCCTTATTAACATATTTTTAGCTTCTTGTGAGGCTCAGCTTTTCAATTTCTTCATTTATATTTTAGTGGTCGCAGGTTATCAAGCCAAGGACGCAGAGATCTGGATAGAATTGCATCACAGATCAACAGGCCTAAAAAGTAAAGCTGTTACGATGGGATAAGAAGCAAATAAATTGCCAGCAGCAAGGAGTTTGTGAAGTGAACAATTATCAGTAAAAATCTTCACAAGTGGAACAGATATGCAAGGCTGAATAGACTGTTGAGAAACGTTCGTTTGGGTATTTCATGTTACATCATGTGAAATTCTACATCAAAATGAAGTAAAATAAAATAAATTGTACTAAGGAGAAAGTAGTTGGTGTTTCAAAATGATCAAGATTGAAGTGACTGCGTGTGCTGGTGANNNNATTTAGAAGTCTATAAACTGCTTTTATGTTTTTCAAACGTCAGAGCACTTAATTCTGAGTAGTTCGCGATTGCAAAACCGTGGAGATGATATGTGGGTGTTGAGGAGCACCAGGAGGTGGTGGATTAATTTCGGTGATTTTAATTCATGACAACAATTCATAAATTAAAAAGTATCAAAAAGTATGACTTGCCCTTAATTCAACAATTAGCAGTTTATATACTTTTCAGTGAAAAAAATAGTCTCAAATCCACTTTTTATTTGGTTAATGACATTGCACCCGTCTTATTACAAGAAAAACGGCCTGTTTCAGACCAACATTTACCTTGTTATGAAACTGACAACTAAAGATGTATTGATGTAGAAACCAATTCCCCGGCAAAACTTATTTTGTGATGCCAGTTTCTGTTTGCATGTCAAGACATTGCAGTGGTAGCACCATACCTTGAGGTACAGGAGCAGAGAATGCGGCAACACTGGTTGACAATAATGAAGCAAGAACGAGAATTTTTACACCTTTATTTGTACTGTAAAAAGTTTTTCCTTACCTACAAATTTCAAGAGTTAAAGCGCAAATTGATACATTTTGCAACACGTTTCGTCTAATGCCATTCCATAATTATTCATGTTTTTTGCTGATCTTGAGTTACAGTGTAAATATTTATCAAAACATCCATACGTCATATATATTTTGCCATAATTGAATCACTACAAGACATCTAAGCCGCTCAATCTGAGTGCAATTTAGCGGGAATCCCCTCGGAGATGGACCGATCCCGCTAGATCGATCTAGGTATGGGAATAAGGTCTTTGACTAGAATGAGTTTCTTTGGCCCCAGTTTCACAAAAAAATTTAAGTCAGTTCCCTGGTTTAGTTGACTAGGATTTCCATGAGAGTGATGTTACACTGCTCCTGATAGGGTAAGATGTGACGATGTAACCTTGGTGATTAAGTTCTTAGCCAGGGAACCTGACATAGTTTTTTTATGTACAGACACAGATGTGTCTGTACATATTGCCATCACCTGCGTCTGTCGTCGCCGTCGCCGTCGCCGTCGCCGATGCCGATGCCGGCGCCGTGCACTTTCCTTGTAAACACGATAAGTGGAGGGCCGTTTTTTTTTTTTTGGCTTTATATTTACAGAGCTGATGAATATTCATAAAACGCAGGTCAAGTTCGAAAACCAGCATGATCGGGCCATTATTGTAGAAGTTATGCTGTTTTTTCACTTTTCAGCATATATGCAACCCTGTAAACACATTTTAAGGAAAACAGATAGGCCAATTGTCATTTAACTCACAGGAGTGGTCAATCTTACGAAAACACAGGTTGAGTTCGAAAATCAGCATAATCGGGCCATTATTTTAGAAGTTACGTGCGTATGCTGTTTTTTGAAATTTCCTCAGATTCAACTGTTAGGCATGTTAACAGTCTCATTAATGAACTAATAAGATACGTAAAAGTGTTTGTTTGACATTTCCTGCATCTTTACAACATCGTTAGTTGATTATGTAAAAATGATGGTAAACTTGTTATCGTGTATTGTGTAATAAAGTTTCCAAAATGGAAATAAACTCATATCATTACAGTTTGTCAGATTCAATCATTCACTATGTTCAGAATCTCAGAATGGAGGAAATTGGACATGTAACACTGTTGTATTGATATTTTTCCCATCTCATCAATTTTCTTAGTTGATCGTATAAAAATGGCAGTAACCTGTTAATTTNTCGGGGCCGGGTTTTGGATTGGCAATATATTTAAAAAAAAAAAGAAAAATATCAAAAATGATAGAATCACAGATCACTTTAAAATTTAGGTTTGCATCAAACAAGAATACAGAAATTACCTGCAGAAACTTTTAAGTATAAAATTAAAATATTACAAATGGAGAATATAAAAAAAAAAAAACTGATAGATCAAAAACTTCCATGATATTACATAACATGAATGAACATTAAACCCGCCTCCATCGTTAAAAAAATTGATCATTAAAAGAATACTGCAGCTTCACAAGTGCCCTGCACTCATGGGCATCTTTCCTCAACCTTGAGCCAGATTCCTTTTTCGGGTTTCATTGGGCGACTTTTCATGAACTTCATCGGTATCTGGGTCTTCTCACAAGTTTTGAAAGTGAGGTTCTGGAGCACCTTCACTATCGCAACTTTCATCTGAAGCAGCGCCAGGCGCATACCAATGCAATTCCGTGGTCCCATTCCAAATGGCATGTAACTATAGGGATTCCTGTTTGCCTTCTCCTCTGGGGTGAATCTCTGGGGGTCAAACTTCTCAGGGTCCGGGTAAAGCTCTGGGTCATGGTGAATGGCGTAGACGGGAACGATAACACAGGTCCCTTTGGGGATTAACAAACCTTTCACTGTGGTGTCCCGATTTGGGACACGGTCCAACACAAAGCCAAGAGGGTACATTCTCAAGGTTTCTGACATCACTTGGTCCAGGTACTGCAGAGAGGCCACATTGTCGTAGCTGGGGTCTGTTCCCTGGAGGGTGTCATCTATCTCCTTCTGCAGTCTCTCTTGGATTTCAGGGTAGATGGCCAAGTTGTAGCACATGAAACTCAGCGTTTCCGTTGTGTTACGGAATCCTGGAAGAAAATAACAGAGCATTTTTAGAAGCTGGCAGTACACCATATATTTTCTTGACTGAACTAACACAATTATCTGCCTCAATTGACATCTTTGAACACTTCGATCTCTTCATATACATAAAGTCTTTTATGTTCTATGAATAATCTGATTTCACAAACCTGCCAAGAAAAACACTATTCCATTGGCCACAATCTCATCCCTTGTCAGGGCCCTCTTCTTCCACTTCCCAACCTCCTTCACATCATCTGCCAGCTCATCATTATCCATATGAAGCTCATGGGCTTTCTGCATCAGGTGGACAAAATCAATGGCCTTCTCATTTTTGGTCTTCTGGCTTTCATCATAAAGTTCATCCGTTGCATGTTGAAAAAAACGGATAGGCTTAATAAAACTTCCAACAAGATATGGAAGGAGCGGCTCAAACCACACCATCAAACGAGGAATAAAAAGAAAGAGCAGAAGAATAGGGTTTGCCAGATTGGCATTCTGTAACTGTCTTGCATTGGTAACAAAGGGCTCCTCAGGGTTGTTCTGGGAGTCAACTTTGATTCCAAAAGCAGTGGCGCAGATGCTATCCATGGCAAAGGCTCCCCAGATTTCCTCCGCATCAAAACTTCCATCTTTTTTGGCAATTTCCTGAAGATTTTTCACTGTTGTCTTTGCGCAATCCACAATATACCCATTCATTTGACGCAACTTCCCAGAGCTAAATGTTGGTGTCATCGTGCTACGTACTTGTTTCCACTCGTCGCCCTTCAAACTAACTACCGTTTTGTTCAAAGGTTTCAGCTGGGTATTTTCATCAACATTTCGGTCAGTGAAGATGCTCCCCTGCTTGACCAAGATCTCTTTGATCATGTCCAGGTCGGATATAATAAGTGTTCCAATCCTTGCGTCTAAGCTACCTGGAGACAAGGCAACCACCTTACCTAAGTAAAGAAAAAAGTTTCAGTTGCGACAACTTGGTGTTAATTCTGTTATAATCAATTTAGTTCTGACATTCTTCTAACTGTTACAGGATTGGGAAACTTGTGATAGATCAGATAACATATCAATAATATCACAGCACAAATAATTAAGGTCTTACTTGTACAATTTCTATCACAAAATTTGTTGACGATAAATGAAATAACCATGGTATGTAAATAAACCCCTCAAAATTACACTTAGACTGGATTCCCATACTTAATTAGATGAATCTAACAGGATCGATCCATCTCCATGGGTTTCTCGCTAAACAGCTTAAGCGGCTTAGATGTTTGGCACGCCTACTGCATCTGCTAAACGATAATAAATTGCCCCCGAGTAGCTTCAGTAGGCGTGGCAGACACCTAAGCCGCTTAAGCTGATAGCAATTTAGCGAGAATCCTCTTGGATATAAATCGATCTAAAGTTAGTACGATAGGGGATGGGAATGGTCCCTTATAGATTAAAAGCTATCAGTCCAGCAGGGTCGATCTATCTCAGAAGGGATTCTCTTTAGGTGCAGTCAATGTAATCCGCTTAATTGTCTGGCACGTCCCTTCGCAAAGCAACACAATGGACCTCAAAGTTTTCCCTACGAGAGTTACGAGTGGGCGTGCCAGGTAATTAAGCGGATTACGTTAACTGCGCCTTAGCGAGACTCCACTGAGACAGATCGATCCTGCTGGACATATAACTTAAGATTTTATCTGAACATAGCCTTTATCTTGAAATTTGAAAAGTAAATCAGGTAAATCTGAATCTTAATCCGTACAAGCAATGATGCGCATCTTGTACCAAGAAGACTAAGGGTGCGTTCAGAACAAGTTGATCCGCGGACTAACAGATCCGCGGATCAAATATGGCCGACACACTCGAAAGCTTGCCTCATTGTCCTAATAGACGCTGGATAGATTCCCCGCAGGCAATACGCGGCAAGCTTTCAAGTGGGTCGAACATATTTGATCTGTTAGTCCACGTATCAACTTCAGTTCTGAATACAGCCTGAATAGCAAACGACTAGCGCTGTAGCAATAACCAATTACCGTATTTATAGCTTAGATGCGTGTAGAACTCAAGGAAGCCAAGTTTTATCCCAAGAGGCATGTGTCCTAACAGGGGCCACCGGTCTGGCCCCGGTACACCATACTTCACTCTGTTATCGGCGAAGTAGCGGGAATATAGGACGGTCAAGACTGCGATCACGACAAGCAGCAGGATCCAATCAGGAAGCCACCAAATGTCCAACATCGACATCCTTGAAAAGAACAAACCACTAGTTGAAACGTTTTATACTGACACGATATACACTGGCGATCTATAGCCTAACCGCAACTGATGACACGTACTATAAGTCACTGTGGAGGATTCGAATCACTCAAATCAAAAACAACACGCGAGCTCCTTGGTCAAGGCAGTAAACCTGTAGTGCAAAGTATATGTATCGATTCAGCCTCTCTTCTATTATATGTGGAGGATAGGACTGTCGATCTGTTCTTAATCAGCTTACTCGCTTGGACCACCGAACCAGTTACAAATCGTTAGTAACAGTATTAATAAAATCCAACATATTTAACTTCAATACAACTAATGATATAAAGAGACGCACCTGGTGAGTCAAAAAGGAGTTTAAGCTTAAGAGTGTCACGCTCCCACCCCCTTCTTCAATAGTCGCAAACTGGACTTCGCTACCTAACCACTATCCCGATCAGTCAAATAACGGCACCTGATGACGTAACACCTGCCCGGGCCGTGCTGAGTGCATATTACATCGGCTCGCTCACCTGTCACCTTGATTAGTTAATGAACCGGGTAGTTGACCTAAAAACCACACATTAAACGACTTTTAGGTAAAACAATCATACTACTGTAGTCTGTCGT